CTAACTAAGAAAGGGAATCTAAATGAATAACAGCCAAGGTATGAGCTCCATACCTTCCAATGATCTGAAATAGCACACCAACTTAGAGCCCCCTGCCACTTCTTGAATCACCCACAGTTCCTTTCTTCCTTTTTGCTTCTAAGCACCCAAATGCAAAGAAAGATTGAGAGTACAACAATGGAGGCTTAGGGTTTCGAGGGAAGGTAAAGGGAGTGATGGAGGTTGGGGTGAAGGCCTGAAATGATGCTTAAATAGGGCACCAAGCCTGGAAATCAGGGCTTCCCAACCTAGACCTGACTCACCGAGTCGGTCACTTAAATCCCAACACGGAACCAGCTCTAACTCGTCGATTTTACCTATGACTTAGCCCATTTATCAATTTGATGAGTCTTTAGGTCAATTAGGGCTTTATTGAGCCTATTATGCTCACTAGAATATCATTAAGCCCATTAGTCACATGTTTGGGCTTTTAGGTCCATTAAGCTTCATTTGGCCCATTAAGGCTTATCAGGGTCATTAGGGTTTTAGTCCCTTGTTAAACATTCTAAACGAACCACAACACAAACGAGGCACACCGCCACCCGACACGGCGGCCGATGGCGGCAGTAGGCGGTAGCCACCACCCTATGGTGGGGGTTTTCAATTTCTTTCCATTATTCCATTTTTACAATCTTACAATGAAAATACCAACATAAATGATAGCTTATTTTATTTCCTTATTTTTATTAGTTTATTTTAGATTTTTAGATCTTTTTATCATTAACACATTGTATTTTATTTATTTTTCTTTAATATGGATCGTACCGGGTGCTTTTTATGTTGCATGAGGAATTTTGTAGGGTTTTGAAGCTTGTTGCGGTTGCAGGTTGATTGGAGACGGGCTTAGTGGACTCCTGAGGCATTATTGGGCTTGGCGTAATCAAAGAAGAAGAATTGGGCTTTCAAAGTTATTAGTTTGGATTATTTGGGCTTGTGAAGATGGATCATAAATTTCTAATTTTAGGCTTGGAACATCCATTTGGTGGCTAAATGATGATTAGTGGATTCAGATTACATGGACAATGGGGGACCAAAGGAATCTTTGGTAGTGGAAGGGTGGAGTGGTGGAATGAAGGACCAATAGCATTATAACAACATTTACGCAGGTGGAATTTTCGTCGCGCGCGTAACTGCCCAGTTTGGGCATTTTGGTCATTTGGCTTGCCATAACCTTGGGGGATCAGATTTAGAGGCTCATTCATGATTTTCCACCATTGGAGACTTGCAAGAGGCGATTTTGGGAGCTAGAAACCATTTCCTTTCATCTTTCCAAATCTTAGGTAGTTTCTTTATGTAATTAGATTATCGTTCTTGTTACTTTGTTGCCAAGAGTGGCTAATACTCTTATTTGGTTGACTTTGGCTAAAAACCAATGAATGTTTGTGGGTTTTGAAGGATTTATGTTGATTATCAATTTATTCCATGTTTATGATTCTAGTTTACAATTCTTATGCTTATTTGATGCTTTGATCATGAGCTTAGTATTTCATTGAGCAATGGTTGATTTGTTTCATTGATTTTGCATTGGATCATTGAATTTATCTAGAACAAAGGCTTTATGATGGTAGAAATCATCTCTAGCTTATGAATCATAACTCCTTTATGGATGTGTAAGCATTTGACATCCTCTAGGAATTGGGGATTCCTTCATTATTAAGGCTAACTGATTTATTGGGATTAATTGCTTCAATTGACCCTTGATCTTAATTAAGAAGGTGTGTTGTGGGCTTCCCCAACCTCCATACTACCTATGAGGAATCTTGGCATATCATGCTTCATGATTGTTATAACCAATTTGGGATGAAGGATAAGCTTTGTATTAGATCCTAATGATAAACACACAAATGTTCATTGTATTGAATTGCCTTAGTTAACCAATTATTCTCAACCTTTGAGCATCTCATCAACTTGCTTAATTGCAAGGTTTTTAGTTATTCAAGTATTTTAGTTTTCAAGTAATCAACCCCCCCCCCCCCGACCTTTTAGTTTAATTGTAGTTAGTTAGTTTAATTTCACTAGTTCTATTGAATTGCATTGGTGATTGAATACAACCATTTCCCCGATGATCGATACCCCTTTTTACCATTATATTACGTTTATTTAGCAATCAAAGGGTGTAATTTGTTTGGTGGACTTGACATCCCACCAATACACACACACACACTACACTAAAGTAAACACACACACATACAACCAATCTTGTGGTGGCCGACGGTGGCACATGGTGGTGGGTTCTCCATGAATTCTGATTACACAACACACACACACGCTCAACGCAATACAATAGCAGCAGCATACACCTAAATACATGGTAAAACACCCACACACACACACACAGCCACCTTCCACAGTGGTTGGTAACGATGGAAAAATGGCATCAAGCGGCGGAACGGCGACAGCAAGCGGCGTTGATGAGTTTTCCTTCCGGTTCCTGGCCAAGAAAAGACCTACACATCAGTAACCTTACAAAAAAAAACGGGCATACACACAACGAATCGCGCACACAGTCACCTCCGCATAGTGGCTGGTAGCGGCAGAAAAGAACGACATGGCGGGAGCCACCATGGTTGCCAGCCATGGTGGGTTTCTCTTGAGTTTTCTCTAGCCAAACATGCTCCCACAACCGTTCCAGGTTCTAATAGCAGTCCCATCTCTTCCAGGCACGAGACAACAGCTCCTAACCACAAACTAGGTGGCTGAGGAGGCTAGAACAAGCAAAAACAACGACTATAGGACCACCTGTGGTAATAATCGGCGTTCCCAATGTCAATCCACCAAGAAGAGTGGATGAGAGGAAAGATAACGGTAGCAGTGGTCTTACCCAACGATTCGCGATTGTTCACGACCATACAATAGCGAACGCGATCAGCTCGTCGGCCTCCGGCAACGGCGTTGTGGCGTTACGATGGCGAAGGAGCGGCAATAGCGAGCTTGGCAACACAACGGCGGCTAAAAAGGCTCCGGGAACATGGTGGCGGCTGGATGTTACGGTTAGGGTTGGGGTTGGTATGGATGAACTTTAAACGGGAAGAAGACACAACCGGTTTCAAATCCCACTTCCATCCAAACTTCCTACAAATTAACACAACTGTCCCTCATACCCAATTCTTTATCAGTTTAAGTCCAAAACTTACGCCTTAGCCCTTGCCTCCATAAAATCTTTTCAACTTTAATCTAATATTTACCATTCAGCCCCTTTCTTCAAGATTTTATTTTAATTTAAATCCATAATTTTACCAAACCGCCCTCAAACTCCAAAATTCTTTACAAACTAATCTGAAATTACATTTTAAACCCCAAAACAATGCCTTGCTCATAGGGCCACTATTCATTTATTAATTTTATCTATTTATTTATTAAATAAACGGGGTGTTACAAAACCGTTGGTACAGCTTGTGAGACACACTCTCTTCATGTACTTTACCTAAAGTACACCTTAAGTCCTGCATTATAACCAGATTCTCCTGGAGGGAGAGCGAGACCGTTGTGTATAGATCTATATGGGATTAACAACCCCACACCTAATTTATTCGCTATAGTTAGACCGAAAGTCTAGGGTGACAAATGTCTACCAACTCCGACGCATAAAGAACGTTGTATAGGGCACTAGTCGTATTAAGTATGGTTATAATAACTCACATAGGGTATTAACAATCATTTGGTTTACAGGGCTAATGCATCTTCATTTGGTTTATAAATATATAAAGCTATCTAATACTACTTTACAATACAACACTACTTACATTTTTGGTCATAGGGTTTAAGACCGCAATTTACAATTAAGAAAATATTGGATTTTCTGGAAAACTTTACGCTATCATTTACAAGGAAACATTACAGATTTTATTCATACAAAAACGCTTATGAACTTACCAACTTTAATGTTGACATTTTTCAGAACTGCATGTATTCTCAAGAAACTAGTGAACAGGTATTAGGAAAACGTTTTGCGGGCGAGCATCACTACATCATGATTTCTACTTTTAAATTATTTGTTACTTAACTTTTGAGCAAACGAAATTTGTAAACAATGTAAACTTGTATTCTCAATGTATGAATGTTTGTGATGTTATGATTCATTCATATTCAATTGTTATGATACTATACATGAAGTCAATCCATCCGCCCCCAGACATTTTCACCATTCTGGTTTAGGGGTGTGACACCAAGCGTGCAAGGAATTACTCACTTAGGGACGTGTCACGTTTATAGAACAAAACACTAAGATTTTTTAGTGTCTACATAGGTTGTAGAGAACTTTGTATTTGAAAGCCACAAAGTTGTCATCCTTCTATGTTTCTTTGTTGACCATTGTTCATACATAAACGCTAAAACACATGATGTCTAGATTTTGCTTTGTTTTTTTAGCTCCCTTTACCTTAAAGATAAAAGTAACATTTATTTCAGAAACTTATGTATATTAATATTTACAACTAGAAAGTGGGAGGTTGTGGAATTTAGAATCTTATGATTATATCATGAAATTACTAATTATGTCTTGTGCATGCTACTTTATTAAATCAAGATCTTGATGCCATCATTAGCAACACCTTCAACCGAACAGCAACACCTTCGACCGAACACGAAGAACATGAAGAATAGCAACAACAACAACCTTAACCACAAAAGAAAGGGAAGGTTGATCCGAGAAGATGGACACAAAAAGAAGAAGTTGAGTTAGCAAGGGCATGGGTCGACATATCTGAAGATGGTGGCACGGGAAAGGGTCAAAATCATGATCAGTTTTGGTTACGTATCACGGAGCGCTTTTGTAGGGGAATGGGTCGAAGTCCAGATTATCAGACCTCCAACCAATGTAACTCCAAATGGAATCTTATGAACAAAGTCGTCACACATTGGAATGGAGTTTACACAAACTTTGAGAAGCAATGGCCTAGCAGAGAAAGTGAAGCGAGTTTGTTGACGATGACATTAAAGAAATATGTACGCCTCCTCGTCTAATGGGAGGGGACAAAACAAAAGCTCGAGCAAAAGGAAAAGGGAAAGCAACTTCTTCAAATTCTCTAATTGGAACTGAGCGGTAAGCCAGATTGAAAGAAATGATGACACAAATGGCACAATTGAATTCACCTTTGGAGAGACATATGACTGAAATCGTTAGACTCACTGAGTATACATTGTTAATGCAATATGTGAGACATCTCGACCCCGAAGATCAAGAAGCAGCAATCATTATGAAAGCATCAATTCAAGAAAAATATAATCTGAAACGCAACTGAAAATTCGATGCTTTGTTTTTTTCTAGGTTTTTAAATTTTAACGCCATGTTTTATTTTTAATTTTTAGATTTTCAATGTAATTTTAATTTTCATGTTTTTTTTTTAATATTTAGGATTTTTTAAATTGTAATTTTTAAGTTTATGTTATTTTAAATTTTAGAATGCTTGTTTTTTTTAAATTTAATCTTTTCCTAAAATGAAATTAAAAAAACTCATAGACACGACACTACACTTCGTAGCTAAAAAATATGAAAATTGTAAAAGTCTATGTGACGTATATGTAGCATCCTTTTACCTTCGGTAAAGAAAACATGACACCCTTTAGCCTTGTATAATAACTCAAATCAATTAAATTATAAATCCACTAAATTGTGATGTTAGACCAAGAAAAATAGAAACTTATTATCATTGGGTCCATCTAGCATCCGTTAAATATATTAAGAACCATAACAAATGGAAAATTAGGGTTCGTACTCATCTTCTTCTTCCTCTTCACCTCAGGCGTCAACTACTCTTTTGGTGAAGCAAAAATAGTGAAGGGTCGCCAAGGAGAACGTGTCTGGTATAATGGTTTCCCGGAATACCAACGCCTAATCCATCGTTTTTAACAAAACTCAGTTTTTGTTAACATTTGTTTTTGTTTCCTTTTCAGACTCTACACTAGAGGAACGGTTCTCTGATACAAGAGGTAACATTCGGATCATCCGTTGAGTTTATTGTTTGTGCTACTATAATATTGAAATCAGTTGATTTATTTTTATTTTTATTTTATTTATTTATTATTATTTTTTGATGATTTTGGTTAGGTCGAAGTCGAACCAATAGCCGTGCGCGCAGGACACATAGGACACTTAAATGGCACGCACTAACGTGTATAGGGACCAAAAGAGTTAGGTGATGTTTATTTATCGGAAAAAAACCTCTTCATACCTCGTATTGCTGCGTGACGCAACACGCGTCCAACACTTTTCATATCGCAAACTTTTTGTTTTTCAGAAGTCTTCAGACTAAAAAAACATCTGCGCGCGTTCTTTTTGGCGTAACACTTGTTTTGCCTCTTCCAACTTTTTTTTCTTTTTTTCTTGCTAAAATATTGATTATATATTGCTGAAATATTATTTCACATTTTTTTTTTTCGTTTTTTCTTTATTTATTCTTGTTGAAATTTATTTTATTAAATAATAATAATTTGTTGATGAAATATCATTATTTTATATTAAAATATCTTTATTTTTTAAAAATAATATTATTTTTTTTGCTGAAATATAATAATTTTTTGTCAAAATTCATAAATTATTAAATTTTTTTAATTAAAAAACTATATTTTTTTTTTTATTAATTGAATCCTTTACTTCCCTTTCATTCTCCGATCGGTGCTGTTTCTCCCCTTTTCTTCACCGTCGAATCCATTTCCTTCTTCAATCTGCTTCCACAATCAGTTCCTGATTTCGAATTGCAACAATCGATTGTAAACAAATCACGATTAGAAGGTAGAGGCACAAAAAGGAGGAGAACGCTGTTCATCGTCTTGTTTTGTATTCCATCACGCCTCCCTGAAGCTTCATGCGCAGATCAATCCCAAATTCGACATCCAGAATTCGGAGCTTCTTGAGTTGATCAATAAATTGATGTTTTTTCTGTGATTGACTTCACTGATCAAGATTCCGACTTCCAGAATTTGACATCAAACTCACTGGTAAGTAATTACAATTTATTGTTTCTAGTACCTGTTGCTGAAGCAATTTATCTCTAGTACTTAGAGTTTTTGCTTGATAATTGTGATAATCTTGTTGGTGGTATTAAAACTGTGATCATTTGGTCACCATTTGATTTTGGTACGTTTATCTTCAAGCCCTAAATCGGGTTTATTTGTTCAATTTACATAGGATCGTCGTTCTATCTATCCCTCACCATAAACGCCCAAAAATTAATCTCATCGGAGAACATCACATATCCCACCCATACAGTGGATTCGTTAGAAATGAGTGTTTTTTTTTTTTTTCGTTTTTCTAGGATGTACATTTTACCTTTTTAATGTCTGCCAAATTCTCATAGGATCATTTGGGTGTTTTTTTGTTTGTTTGTTTGCATGCACACATTCGTTATCAAGTTAAATAATCAGGACTTTGATGAATTACTTTGATTCTGGTATTCTATTATAAACTTAGATCGCAATGTATTTTTTTTTTCCAGTCAATTTTTCTTATGAAATGTCTTCCTGTCTATAGTAGTTTGATGAGCCATTATTCTTTCTCCTTCACCTTCAGATTGCCTTTTTAATTTGGTTAATATGTTGGCCCTAATCTTCATAAAGCACTAAGATCCTAGAGTGTCTATACATAGGTTGTAGAGAACTAAGCATTTGAATTTTGAAAGCCACAAAGCTGTCATCCTTCTGTGTTCCATTGTTGACCATTGTCCATTGTTCATACATAAACACTAAAAGTAAAACACATGATGCCCAAAAATTTTGTATGCACCTGTATTGTAACACCCAGAAATTTGGATGTAGAGTTAAAACTTAATGTATCTGATATGGAGGATTCTGATATCTGATTTAATGAAATCTTGTGATTTTTTTTAAAATACCTTATGAAGAGAATCCTATTCCAAGAATGGAACATATTTATATTAATTGCCAAATATATTGCACTGTTGTTTTCTATTATCTTTGACCCTCTAAAAAGGTTGGTACTTTTTTTTTTTCAAAAGTTTTAACACTATTTCTTTTATATGAAGATTTTTTTTTTAAAAGGTGAGTTCTAGTGGATGTTATGGCTAAGATCAGAGACCGAACTGAAGACTTCAAAGATGCTGTCAACAGGGGAGCTTTATCTTTGGGATTTAATGAGGTTTCTTCTCATTTCCTATATTGACCTTGTTTGACTTTGACAAATCTTTATTCTACTTGATCATTATTTGCTTTAATGATTTTCTGATGGGTAATTATTATCAACAGGCCAAAAGGGCAGCTCTAATGGCATCTTTCATCATGCACAAACCTCGTGAAAGATCACCTTTCACCAAAGCTGCACTAAAAACAGTATATGAATCTTTACTACCATATACAAACATATTGTTTCTTGTATAATCTCCTAAAATAAAAAATAAAAAAAATCTTATTTTCCTTGCTTTATTTTTCAGCTAGAAAGCATTGGGACTCTAGAACAGTTCTTGATAAAGCATAGAAAGGATTATGTAGATCCTCATCGTACCACAGAAGAGGAAAGAGACAGCATTGAACATGAAGTAAGACTCTAAAAAAAATATATCTTTGATCCAAGGGCAAAATGGTCATTTTCAAAAAGGTTGACAGCTAGGTCGTTAACTGGGAACCAAAACCGTTAGTGATCATCAAAATAAGGACAAATTTTGCAAAAGAGAACTTTTGGGACCAAATTTGAAAATTTCAGCTAAACCCAGGGACCAAAAGTGTAATTTACTCGATTCTTACAATACATGACTTTTTTTTGACAGGTTAGTGTTTTTGTAAAAGCTTGTAAAGAACAAATTGACATACTGAAAAGCAGCATAACTGATGAAGAAGCAAATGGAAAAGGTTGGCTTGGAATTAGGGGTGACAATGCTAATGCAGATACTGTTGCACACAAACATGGAGTGGTATGTTTAATCTTTATTATATTTTATAATATTTAATGTTTTCTTTTTTATGTTATTATTATTATTTTTTTTGAATTATAGGTTTTGATTTTAAGTGAAAGTCTTCATTCAGTGACATCACAATTTGATCAACTGAGAGCTGTACGCTTTCAAGAAGCCATCAATCGAGCCATGCCAAGAAGAAAACCAAAGCGGGCCCCACTTGAAAAAACAGAAACAACAAGTTCATCAGAGACGAGGGACCAAAGTGAAATTACAACTGAACCCATGAAAGTACAACAGCAAGTTTTAGATGACGAAACACGTGCTCTTCAGGTATATTAATTAGTCCCAATGATATCCGTGTGTATTACGGAAAATGACGATACTACCCTTGTAGGTGGAGTTATCGAGTCTTCTTGATGCTGCACGTGACACCGAAACAAAGATGGTAGAGATGTCCGCATTGAATCATTTGATGTCGACACATGTGTTGCAACAAGCTCAACAAATTGAGTATTTGTATGATCAGGTCAGAAAATAAATACTTTTTTTTTTTTTTTTTTTCATTTATTTAACATAACAGCTAAATACCTACATTTATTTATTTATTATAGGCGGTTGAAGCAACAAAGAATGTTGAGATGGGTAACAAGGAGCTAAGTCAAGCCATAGAGAGGAACAGCAGTAGCAGAGTTTTTCTGTTGCTTTTCATTGCTGTTTTTACATTTACTATTCTTTTTCTTGACTGGTATGATAATTAGTACTTATAAGTTATGTTTTTATTTCAAGAGCCAAAAATGAGTTGATTGGTTTTAGTTATAAGTTATATTTCAGTAGCATTTATGAATAATGTAAAATTATTATTATTATATTTCAATGAGGAAGGAGGGCAAAAAGGGACAGTGTTGTTACTTGTTAGTTACTCCTTGCAAGTTTAATGTCGTTGTTGGTTTTATTATAATTATTATGTGTTTTACAAAATGCGTAGTGTCAAACTAAAATAATATAAAGTTTCGCTACCATGTTAACTGAAATGAAATATACATATGTTGCATTCAGAAATGACCAAAAAAAATAAAAAATGTAAGGATATAAAAATATCAAATAATCACTTCCATCTTCAATCATCTATTTCGTAAAAAATAATGTTTAAATTTTTTGCTTTTTTGGTACATCATATTTCAGTAATCAAAGACATACTTTTGACTTTGTGAATATGATCTTCCTATTGTGGTCGTTTTTGTGATCACCTTGTAACTAAATCATATTAATGTCCATTTGGTTGTGTACTTTTATCCAACTAGTTATGTTATGTCATTACTTTCATGAAACGACAATTGTAATTTTCATTTTGATGCTTCAGTTGTTTTTATAATTTCTTGAATTCAGGTTTGTTTTATTTAAAAATCATGAATCTTGGAAATATTGATATCATTTATCTGCAATAGTCTAATTCTAATTGAAATATTTTAATCTTCTTAACATTTGTTGTTCATGAAAATAGTAAACATGAATAAACATGCCAATCTTATTTTTAATCAAACCAATAGTGAGTGTCGTTTAAGTGCCTCATTTTCCTTGCGCGTATGGCTCAACATCGGGTATAACTGAACGTTTCTTACTTCATCCTCTTTCAAACATTTCCAAGCCGTAAATACATCAAGGGTAAGATAACATACATTGGCGCCATCAACATTGACTTGTTTTCAGTATATGATATAGATGAGATGATGGAAATTCTAGATTGCATGGAAGAAGGTAAATTTATTTATTATCACTTCAAACGACCCATCTGAGATTTAGACTTTGGTTTGTATGCATTGGCTAGTGAAGAAGATATAATCCACTTTATCTCATATGTATCTTAACACAAGTTGATAGAAGTGTACATAGAGTTCTAGAAAACCAAATTGCATACATATAAGATGTCCCAAAACACTGCAAAGTTAAAAGATACAAGAAATTCTAGAGGCCCTTTGTTCTAGAAGGTTGTACTTGACATGGACCGACTCAACTACATTGGATGGTCCTAATTAAGAAGCCCTTGTTTCAGAGCATGTTGAAAATGTTAACCAACCCCCTATTGCATTAAATGGAACAAGCTTTAACCAACCCCATGTTACATTGAGTGAAAGTTTGGTTTAATCAAATATTGTAATAGGTGAACCAAACCTTACACTCAACTCGACCTCTATTTATATACCAACTATGGGAAGTTATGTTAATGAATCAATGGTAGGAATGCTCAAATGTTAGTGAACATTGGGTTAATACATTTAACTGGTTTGAACCTATTGTTAAACCTCATGTGGAACCCAATGTTAACCCTCTTGTGGAACCTAATGTTGAGCCTCCCGTGGAACCTAATGTTCAACCTCACATGGAACCTAATTTTGAGACTCATGTGGAAGATGTAAGTGGTGGAGAGGTTATTGACACTGTAGATAGTGAGGATATTGAAGACAATACAAATAGTGATTTCATAGTTGATGAGGATAACATGTTAGATGACCCTAATGTTGATATGAAGGACTTTCACCTTAACATTGACAAAGAGGTTGAGTGGGTTAGAAATGTGCAACATCAACTACTGTCCCACAATTCAATAATGTAATGAAAAAACTAAGGAAACTAAGCAATGCAACATATGAGCGAGTTAAGGCTATTCCACCTAAGCATTGGTACACATCCTACTTCTCAGGTATGGAATCTTTTGTAATAAGTTTTATCACTTGCTTGGAGTTTATTAGGGAGTGCATCATGAGGAAACTTGTCATTGTTTAAAAGGAAATAGATAAAGCTAATGGGCAGTTAACTCATACAACCACAAAGACCCTTGAAAAATATAAAATAAAGCAGGAGAGTGTGGGCAATGTTTTCCGGTAATGGGAAGTACCATGTTTCAGGTCAATGTATGGATCAGTGTGTGGTTGATATGGGAAAACAAACATGTTCATATAGGAACTGACAGACATGCCATGCAAGTACACCATTGCAGCTATATGGGATATGAGGCTTAATAATGAGGATGCTAGGATAGCTGAGACATAGGTTCACCCTACATACTGGCTAAAGACTTAGAAAGATATATATGTATTAAAAGTTGAACAATTAACGAGAGGTTCATGTATGGGGAAGATCACATGTCCTACCAAGCTACTAGAACCAAAGCATCATGTCCCTATTAGCAAGCCAAAACATAAGAGAAGAATATCTCCAACAAAAGATGATGTTGATAGAGGCCCCATGATTTGAAACTTGTAAGTTATGTTAATATTTTGTTAGGCATTAATTGCCTTGATACTTTTTTGTTGTGTTTGGTTGTTTGATACATTATGTTTAGGTTTAAGTATTTGTATCAAGTTGTGTGTATGGATTAAAACTTTGTTGCTATTTTGAATGTTTGTGCTATTTAATGGTAAATGGTCATGTGAGCCTTCAAACTTTGTTGCTATTTTTTATGTTAAGGTTTTTTACGGTATATTGCATCTGTTACATGAAAATGGTTATATGCAACTTTTAGAACACAATGTTCACAACAGATAGAGTTGCAAAAAATAAGCACATAATCATTACATTTGAAGGTTCTTACATAATCATCCAATACATATACCAAATGGGGTACATAATGTTTTATCTCCAACCATACTCAATTTTTTATCCCAAAAAGTATATTCCTAGTATATGCTAATCTTCCAACTTACATAGATTGTCAAACACACCCCTTCTATCAATTTGGTTTTAACAAATATATAATCTATATATTTTTTTCATTACAATAAAATAATAATTGGACTTTTATGAAGAAACACATAGTTCTCACAACCGACCTTCACAACTTAAACCTACTAAACATTCTTAATAATTAATAATAGAAATGATAATAAATATTGAAATTATAAAACAAACACCTAATAAGAAATATCAATGCCAAGATTGTTAAAATGTGTATTTTTTTAGTTATTCACTAATCTTGGTTTTTATTTTATAATAAATATCATATTAATGCAAAATATTCATTTGAAAATTACACAAACTCTTGATCTTTCAAGTAATTAACCAAACATACTCGATTTTTTTTAACTTAATTAAATGGGAAATCTTCAAAAAAGTCCCAAACTTTTGGGAAACGTTACACTTTTGTCCTAACATTTTTTTTGAACAAAAAAACCCAAGAAACTGGGTAAATTGAACATTTCGGCCCTATTTTACCGGTGACCTTCATTTAGCCGGTTAAATTGGCTTATGTGGCAAGGACTTGCTGAGGTGGTTGGTGAGTCATTTAATGACCTTGTATTAAACTCTAAATGTAGTGGAAAACTTCATTCGTGCCCTAGCAGACAACGATTGAAGTAGGAGCAGTGGAGGACCAAGACAAATGTCTTCTTCGTCTTCTTCATTTTCAATGAATCGTCTCAGAAAGAGGTGCTACTGTGGTGATCCTGTACGAAGATGGACTTCATGGACTCCATTAAACCCAGGAAGAAGGTTTATAGGATGCCCAAATTACCAGAATGGAATCAAAGATTGCAAGTACTTTCGTTGGGTGGATCCTCCTCTACCAAGCTAATGGTATGCAGATCTGTTATTAGTATTACACAACAATGTCAATATGGAGAACCATCGAATATTTGGGGAGTTTGGGCAAGAACAACCAGGTGGGAACTTTTTTGGAGACGTTGTGGAACAACCAATGACACAACAACCAATTGCACAACAAGCAGTGGAACCACTGTAGGATTCTTGCATGATGTTTTATTGTGTCCCCTTTGTAGACAATTTTTACACCGGACAGTTTTACCCTTGCTTGACACTTGAGAGTACTTGTCTTGATTTTTTGAAACATGTCTTCTTCTTTTAACACTAGGCCTTCCTGGCATCCTCCTTTCAATGGGTGGAAGGGGCTTAGTGTAACTTGTTTCTTCCCATAAGATACTTCCATTAACTGGGTGTATATTCTAATCATAAGTTGCCTTGTAATTATTCTTGCTAAACCAACTACTTATAAAGTTAACGGGATCTTGATTGGTGTACAATATTGCCACTTGTGCATGCACACAAGGTATTCCTGAAAGTTCCCATAATCTACAAGCACATATTTTTTCCTTCAAGTTAACTTCATAGTTCTGAAACCCATTCCTTACTTCATATTCATTCACTCCACTTGGAACTGCATGCCAACTTATGCAAACATATATATAAGATAGAACATAAGATGCAAACACATAAGATAGAACATGTAAAAACAAAACAATTGAGAATACTTACTTAATGTCTTCTCCAAATTCTTCCATCTTTGTTACCGCGGAAGGACAAACTTCACCAACCTAGTTTTCAGCCTCTTGTTTCAGATTGAAAGCCCTTTCCATCATGTAAAGCCTAATCTCTTCAAGCATAGTCAGCAAAGGTTTCTTTCTTGCGTCTACAATGATTGCATTGAAACACTCAACAATCTGATTCTCTACAGCCTCACAAGCCAAGCAGTAGAGAAATAAGCCCTGCACCATGAAGTTGGTTCCCTTGCCATGAGATGATCATAAGCAGCATAACTTATTGCCCTAATCCTTTCCATATTAAAATTGAAATCTCCTTCTGTGGTAGATTTTGCAGCTGCCCAAAACATGTTTCTGAACTGCACTCCACTATAAACTTTTCTGAAATTGGCATAGATATGCCTTGCACATTGTCTGTGCTCAACATATGGTAGAATATCCTTACTAGCTTCAACAAGACCCTATAACATGAAGAAAAAAAAAGTTAATTAGCAACACCATACACTATTGTAAATAATGAAAAATAAAGAGATAGTTACTTTACCTTGTGTTGGTCACTGATTACACACACACCCTTTCCACCCTGCAATCCAAGATCATCATTAACTAAATCTAGGAACCATTGCCAGTTGTTCTTGTTCTCTACATCAACAACTGCCCAAGCTATAGGATACACCTGATTATTGGCATCCCTACATATTGCAGTTAACAGTTCACCCTTACACCGTCCCTTCAAAAAGAACCATCCAATCCTATTACCCTACGACATGCCCTTTTCCACCCCTCTCTTATTGCTTTAAAGCAAATGTAGAATCTATGAAATGTTGTGGTATTATCAGGGTTTACAGTAACTGTAATCCTAATTATGCTGTCTGGATTGGATCTCAGTAGCTCATGCCCATAATCCCAAACTCTTGCGTAGTGGTCACTCAAATTCCCATGAATTAATGACAGTGCCCTCATCCTTGATCTATAACACTTTGACCATGAAAATTTTCAATGAAATTTACTTTGTATAATTACCTGCATCTCTTTGCATTTTAATTTAGGTTTCCTAATCAACTCCTTCACAAATTTCCTAGCTAACCAAGTAGGATCCATAAGCCTTGAATTGTTAAAATTCCTAACACATTTATGAATGTCTATCATCTTTTTGACTTGGAAAGACCTTTCAGTACTCATCCAAGAAGCCCTAACCACAAATGGACACTTCTCTGTATCACTTCCACATATTGCCACTAGTCTAACACTATCACATTTTTTGAAATGAATTTGAAAGCGCTTACTAAGCATAGTTGGTCAAACACAATTTCAGTTTATGTGGGGATTCATACCTTTCACCAAGCATTGGTCTCATTTTGTTCCATTTCACCTTTGGATTGTGGGTGGAATACTCAAATTCCTCATCACTACCTTCCTCGTTACTACCTTCCAGATAATTTTCATCTGATTCTTCTTTAGTAATTCCAGTTTGAGCATCGTTTCCAGTTTGAGCATCATCTACTACCTCGTAATCGTGTTCTTCACATAGAATATTGATAAATTCATCTTTGCATCGGGAAGCTTGTTTCTTTTTGAAGTACGCATCCAACTCCACATCTATTGTATCAAAATCATGGATGTCATCCATGATTTCAACTACACGGGGGGTAAAAAACCCTAGTTTACTGAGGGGGCGGGAGAAAGTGAAATGAGAGAGGTAAGTTGTATTGTGTATGTATGTGTGTAAATGAGATCGATTAAACCCACGTAAGCAAGTCCTTGCCACATAAGCCAATTCAACCGGCTAAATGAGGGTCACCGAGAAAATAGGGCCAAAATGTTGAATTTACCAGGTTTCCTGGGTTTTTTTTTTTGTTCAAAAAAAATGTTGGGACAAAAGTGTAACTTTTCCCAAAAGTCTGGGACTTTTTTGAAGATTTCCCTAATTAAATCATTCACTTTAACCTCCTTAATTTGATTTATTTAATACATTAAAATCAATTATTAGTCTAAGTTCAAAATAACTCTTCATTTTTCAACCTAATATATACATAGATGTTGCTGAATTATATTAACTTGGTGATAGTAACTTCTAACAACTAAACACCCGTTATAAAAATCATGATTTTAAGCGATATAATTGCACACTGCGCAATGCGCAACACACAGGAATTCGTCCACTATACTTATAAAGGAAGCATTTTTCTTTTCACCACATTCATTTGAAACTCTCATGACTTTTCAATTTCTTTCTAATAATGATTATAAGTTGGTTAATAAGGTTAAATAAATATCAAACCTAAAGTGTAATCATATATAAACTAAATTTCAATATTAAAAGAAAATATTTACTTCTACTTACAAAGTTATATTTTTAACTTTTAACATATTATACTTAACCTATTAGTTTTAATATGATATTGTATGTAAACCTTTACCATTTTAAAGCTACAACTTTTGAACAATTTGTATAAAATACTTAAATTGGTAATTTAAATATAACATTATAAGTCAACTTAAATAACTCAAACAATATTTTGTAAATTGTTAAAAATGATAAATTGTCGTGTCTTTCTAATAATGATTATAAGTTTGTTAATAAGGTTAAATAAATATCAAACATAAAGTGTAATCATAAATAAACTAAAATTTAATATTAAAACTATATCTTTACTTCTACTTATAAAGTTACGTCTTTAACTTTTAACATATTATACTTAATTTATTAGATTTAATATGTTGTTGTATGTAAACCATTATCAGTTTAAAGCTACAAATTTTGAACAATTTGGACAAAATACTTAAATTGTTAATTTAAATATAACATTACAGTGTCAACTTAAATATAAATTTCAGTTTCATTTAAAAACTCAAACAATATTTTGTGAATAGTTAAAAGTGATAAATTATAGTGCTAAATGCAAAAACTAAATTGTAATCTCATTTTAACTAAAATATTTCCTAAAGATATTTTTATAATCTATATCATATTATATTTATAAAGGAGACATTTTTCCTATCACCTCATGCATCTGAAACCCCCACACAAATTTCCAAGCACCTCATGCATTTGAAACCCCCACACCTTTTCACCTTCAAAGTAATTAATCACATATCATGAAAGGTTTTATAACTTATATAATATGTTTAATTAGCAATTAATGGATAGTTTACTATAAAAATATCATTCACTTTGAGTAGACACATAAATACAAATCACATACAAAATTCACAAAGAAAATAAGTTTAAATGTTTTGTGTTGGTTTGAGGGCTTTTGACCATTTTTCGAGCCATGTTATTATGTTAAAGTTTTTAATAAGTGGTTTTAAAACTAATGAACCATAATTATAAATAATAAAACCAAATTATAAAAATCATGGATATGTCATATTATCCATGCAAATCTCTTTTAAAATGCAAGTTGTCTATCTTATCAGTTTATTATTTAGTGTATGATTCACATTTTAATAATAGTATTAATAGTTTCTTAAGAGTCGTCTTTAACTTATTAATAATAATAAGTGGTTTAAAACTAAAGAAGAATAACTTTAAATGATAATAACATCAATTTATAAATTACATAACGTTAACAACAAATAAATTGTATTTTAAATGAACATCATTAGTGAAATTAGAAAATAATCACATAAGTAAAAATTTAAATTAATCAATCATAAAAATTATTAGAAATAATATTAAATAGATAATTATATTTAATTTTATTATTGAGGAATGTGGATTAATGTCAATGAATAATATTGTTCAAAATATTATGCCAAAGTTAATGTCAACTAGTATATGAACCCGTGGTGAACCACGGGTCACGTTATTTGTTTTATTTTGTCATCGTTTCTAAATGATAAATGCTTTCAATTATTAGTGTTGCGTATTTTACACTTAATAAGGTAGCAAAGGGCATGATGTAGATGATATTTAATAAATGAAAATCTCTTCCATCCACTAACCGGAACTGTTGTATAATTAATTTATTTGATAAAGTTCGTTTCCACTGAGGAAATATCATTTTGAAATAATGTTCAAGAACTACATTTTGTGCAATAGAATGCAACAAATTTGTCAAATGGGTAACCGAAGGATGAGAGTTTGGTTTATGTTGGGATGAAGATCAAAGTCACGGTTTCCCTAAAAGAAAGTGGGCTTTTCCCAGTTGGAAATTTTCTTTTCCCCTTTTACCCTTAGACCTTTATGTTCTTCTCCTTATACCAATTTTGGCTTCTTTCTAATTTAGTAGTTGGGCACCTGTTTTGGATGTTTATTGGTTGATGGATTTGTATTTAAAATTCTTTTTCCTAATTGACAAAAAATCAAGCTTATTTAAACGAAAACAACTCTAAAATTTAATTTTAATCAATACAAAAAATTTATTATGTTAATAAAACTAATTTATCAGTTAATTTAACAATTTTAATTTATGAAGGTATTAATGTCAAAAAACGAAAACCTGATTCTTAAATAGTCATTAATTATCCATTTTTAAGATTATCAAATTCATACCCTTAGATGCTAGCAAGGGCAAAATCATCTTTTACCCTTAGACTTGTTGTATGAGATTTTCTTTTTTCCATATTTGTAGCATATTTTATCATTTCACATGTCTTACGCTGGAAAATTTCAATGAAACATTTTTATTTATAAAATACAAAGGAATACTACAGGCTTTAGTTCCTAATATACGTCTATAGTTGCATGCTTCTAATTCTATTATTTATCATTTTTTTATGATCCAATATCTTGTCCCATTTCGAGAAGGTTTTTTGTTGGGATTAAAACCCTAATTGTGATTTGATGAACAAGATGCGGAAAATAAGAACAAACACAAATAAAGAAGATATGTCGAATGATCACTCGATTTATTCAAAACATGAGGAATACATTACACATTCAGAATAGACTAAAGAATCTAACTCTATATAAGAAACCTCACAACGTGATGGCTACATTTTGCCTCACTCTTAACCCTAATTATGAATAATACATGACTATTTATAGGAAAAAGATAAGTCTTGGGCTTTTAACCTACACTTCATCAAGGGGGCCCATTGCTGTAATCCGTGGAGTACTTTGAAACCCTACAATCTCCCCCTCAAAGTATGGAACGGATGACAATGTTTCAACTTCCAAAACAAGCATTTAGCAAATAAGAAATGATCTCGCGACGAGGAATATTTGAAGCAATCCACGATTCTTGATTCTTTAATAGTCTTCAAAAACGGGTTCAAGGATATATGAACCAAGCACTGAAGTAATGTTCTTAAACTTCATTTTCTAATGTAATCCCAAAGATCTTCAATAAAGCCAAACCCGCCATAAAAACTCATTTCAGAATTAAGAAACCAAATCACTTCTTGTCTTTGAAGAGATATAAGCCACCAAAAAATTATCATGTAACAACCCAAATTTTAAGATTCGTAACGCCATTTGATCGAGAAAATACTAGAAGTCGGAGATATAACAAGTCCTTAGAAGAGCTCGATGAAGAAATGCTACTGTAAAGGATACTTCTCTGTAAAAGCTTTAGAAAAGCTCGATGAAGAACTGCTACTATAAAAACTATCTTCATAATTCTACCACAAGCTTTATAAAAATCTTCAAATTTGAAAAGTCACAAATCCAATTTCGAATGGCCATACCAAATTCTCCCCCGATTTATAATAAAAGAACGTGATTATAAAGCCTTCAAATGGTCATGAGAATGATCTTGAATGGATAAAAAGTTACTATGCTCCCCCGTGACAAAATGATATAAACGATGAAGTCTAAAATCCGGAAAAGTCGAGAAAATTTGACGTTATCACGAAAAACGACTTTCCGAATCGCCAAGACTTGAAGGGATCCATAACTTTCTGTTCACGAAAAAATATGTGCATTACAGAATCCATAATTGTTCACCAGCCCTCAAATTTGAAAACTTTTCAAAAAACGGGCTGAAATTGTCACTTTGCTGAAAGACAAAGATTGAAAAAGTAATTCCATCATTTTCCCTTTAATTTGTACCAATTTCTGAAACAGCACCAAAACAGCCATGTTGCTTAAATTGTTCGTGGAAGTTTCAGGGACCAAAAATGAAACTTTACTATCTTCTTCCTCGATTTAGCGCTGATTAAGGGGGTGTTTGGCTTAGCTTTTTACCGCCAAAAGTCCTTTTTGGAAAAGAAAAAAGCAAAAAGAAGTTTGGCAAAACAAGTTTTAAAAGCTACTTTTGGAGTTTTTACACAAGAAAAATGAACTTTCGGAAAAAACAGAAACCTGACTTTTTGTAACTTTTTCAAAAAGGACTTTTGGGCTATAAAAAGCTAAGCCAAACACCCCGTAAAAGAACACGACTGCATCATGCTCCATTCTTTCAACGACGACTCAAACGAGATGCGAAACCTCCAAATGTTCGTAAACGAAACCCAAAAATCCGATTCTGATCAACCCTTTATACTGAGCACACCAAAACAAATGCGAACCCGAGGCATTCGCAGTGCCAATTTTAAGTGGTTTCGCTGCGGATCAACCAATTGCGAATCTAGAATCACACCAGGTTCCGAACCCGTTCGTTCCGAATCGAACAATAAAACTTCCATTTACGAATCAACAGTTCGCTCCGAATCTAACAATCACAGTTCCGATTCCAAGGCCGT